AGTCCCTTATTGTCCCAACTACAGACAGCACCAGAAGCTGGAGTCCAAGATGGGCTATAATATGCTTTGCATGCTAAGAGCATATGCTTTGGATTCATGGAGTTTCCATCCAAATCCCACATCCACCACCCACTCATTGTGTGACCTGGACATGTTGTCTAGCCTCTTACGGTCTTAGTGAAAAGCTAGGAACAATCTGTGCTAGTACTTAGTCCCAGACCTAGCATGTGGCAGCTCTCATGTTAGCTAGAGGCAGTGATTATAGTGATGCACAGCTGCAACAAAACATCCTTCCAAATGTAAGAAAGACCATCTCTGGTTGGCTGTAGATCAGTGGTTCTCATCCAGGGGTGATCTTTCCCTGCAGCCAGAGATATTTGGCAATGTCTAGAGATAGTCTTGGTCGTCACAACTGGAATGATCCTACTGGCATCTGGTTGGCAGAGGCCAAGGATGCAGCTAGATGCCCTACCGTGCACGGGACAGCTCCCACAGCAATGATCCAGCCCAAAACGCCAAGTGTGGAGGTTGACAAACCCTGATGTAGTCGCATCCAAAGATTAATTCCTAAACTGAAAAAAAGGAAGGAAAGCTGATATAAAACACAAACACACAACTGCCTTCTTGTCTGGGGTCGAAGGACAAAAATGTGGCTAAGCTTTCAGTTTGTGAAGCAACCTCCACACAACGGCAGCTGAGTGCACCGCAGACCCATGTCGTATCTTCACCAGGTAGACCCACCACTGTATGGTTGTTGGTGCTGGCACAGAGGTCTGGTTTCTACTACTGAGACGATGTCTGATTGAGTCAGGAAGGCCAAGAAGATAAGCACTTATGGTTGGAAAGTCTTTCGAAGAAAGTATGTGCTTCTCTTGACTGATATACATTATCAAAGACAAAAAGTAGATAAATTGGTAAAACAGCAGTTGTATCACTTCTGCTCTGTGGCTCTTAGAGACTTGATAATGTGAAGTCATAGAACATCTGCCTGCTGGATGCCTGTGGGGTCATGAGTTTGTGTGCATTAAATTACAGGACTAATGTTAAGAGATAACATCACAGGGAAGCAAGAGCTGCAACTCAGTTTCAGCTGAGGGAGGCAAATTGTCACCATTCCCTGCAAAGCATGTGCAAAAAGAACAAAGTCTTAGTTGCTAGTCTTACTTGCTAGTTGGAGGAAAAGGATTCATTTGTTGCGGAGAAGGCAAGCACCCAGCAAGACAGCATTCTATGCGAGGGACACTCTACCGCACCGGTCAGCTACAGGGAGAAGAACATGCGACTCACACAGGGTGCCAGGGACGGATGAGCAGAGTCCAAGATAGGGGTCTCAGCTGAACAGGGGAGAGGAGAGTGATCTGAAGACGAACATGGACCTGTTTGAGTTTGAGGAACAAGAAAAAGGTGTTGGGCCTGAAAACGGTGGGCTTTGGGGATCTGGGAGAGAATTCAGAACTAAGGGAGGGTTGGTGGCCCATACCTGTCAAGGAACTCTCCCATTTGCCCTTTCCTGAGTAAAGATGGTGTCATGCATCAGCCCGAGGACTACTGAGATAAACAGAAACCACAGGAATTGTTTCTCACTTACCCACCCCAATTGCTTCTTTTCATGGGGTCAATTTGTAGGAAGCCAAGACCACCTGGGTGGTCTGGCCCAGCCCCACCTGGGTGGTCCCATACCACTTAGCCCCACTTACCTTTTCCTGGCCAGCAAACCCCGTCCTGCGCCAGGCCGTGCTGAGGACCTGTGACATTCAGGCTTCCTCGGCGACGCTCAACAGTAGCGAGGTCTTAAACTTACGTAGCACGTGATGTCGTTTTCTTCATTTCTCTCATTCAGATTTGGCAGCATCTCTAGGTTGGTTTGTCTCCTCATCACACTTAGAAGGAAAGAAGGGCTCCAGTGGGCCGAGTGCTTCTGAGTCTGTACTTGAACCCAGATCTTTCCCTCCCATGTCAGGGCTCTTTTCACACTCACACTTCTCTGAGTATCTACAACACCATCACAACACACCCAAAAAACGGCAGTCTCTGTTTATATTGGTCATCATGGGTGCTGGTGTGTGTTTAACTGTATTACGAACTTGGTAAGAATAGAGACCAAGTCTCATATTTCTGTTTTGTCAAATTAGTAATGCTCTATTAGATTCCCAGTATTTGTCCAAGTGCTTTTTATTTTTTAAATCCATTGTAAAATATGGAAAATATAAAAATTATAAGAAACTAAGACGAATAACACAATAAATACTCTTCATGGCATGTTGAAAATCTATTAACAATCAAATTGAGTCATTGGCAGTAGTTTTCAAAGCACTGTTCATTGGAAAGTCTCCAAGACCGCTGAGGGTTGCAACATGTTATTTGGGAGTCAGAATGCTATTAGAAGATGGGAAACCTGGTCTGTAACAATCTATATGACAAAACCACAGGCACAATTCATCAAATTTTTTTAATTTCATGTTCGAAATCAACATGCTTCTGATGAATGATAATGAGAATACTGGATGGAGAAGCATGGACAATTCATCCCTTCTAAATCAAACATCACACTCTACTCTCAGCTTCCACCTACAATAGCAAACTATATGTGTTTTTATTCAATTCCAAAGATACAGGTATACATTCACATCTCATTATGCTTTTCTTTTTATACTTTTCTATTTATACTTTTCTTTTTCTTTAATATATATTTTTTATGTCAGCATATTAAGGGGGTACAAATGTTTAGGTTACATATATTGCCATTGCCCCCGAGTCAGAGCTTCAAGCGTGTCCATCCCCCAGACGATCGCACCGCACCCATTAGGTGTGAATACACCCATCCCCTCCTCGTCCTTCCCTCCTGCCCGACATCCGATGAATGCTACTACTATATGTGCACATAAGTGCTGATCAGTTAATACCAATTTGATGGTGAGTACATGTGGTGCTTGTTTTTCCATTTTGGGGATACTTCGTTTAGTAGAATGGGTTCCAGCTCTATCCAGGATAATACAAGTGGTGCTAGATCACCATTGTTTTTTGTGGCTGAGTAGAACTCCATGGTATACGTATACCACATTTTATTAATCCAGTCATGTATTGATTGGCACTTGGGTTGTTTCCACACCTTTGCAATTGTGAATTGTGCTGCTATAAACATTCTAGTGCAGGTGTCTTTTTTACAGAATGTCTGTTTTTTTCTTTGGGTAGATGCCCGTTAATGGGATCGCTGGATATATCACATTTTCTTTATGCATTCATCAGTTGATTAGCAGTCCATATCTTTGCTGCTGTGAATAGTACTGTGAAAAACATAGATGTACAGGTCTCTTTTTGATATAATGATTTATTTTACTTTGGGTAGATAGCCAGTATCTATTGCTGGTATTGCTGGATCAAATGGTAGATAAACTTAGTTCTTTGAGAAATCTTCATACTTTTTTTCCATAGAAGTTATATTTATTTCCATTCCCACCAACAATGTATAAGCGTTCCCTTTTCCTTGCTTCGGCCCCACCCCTTTTTGCACCTTTTTTTTTTTTTTGCTTTTTTATTATTGGCCTTTCTGCCGGGGTTATTTTGTTTTTTTTTGTTGTTTTTATTTTTTTTTTCCTTGTTGTTTGTTGTTTTTGACCTTTTTTTCCTTTTGTTTTTTGGCCTTTTTTTCTTTTTTTTTGAAAAAATTTTTTTTTCTTTTCTTTTGCTTCTTTTTTATTGGGGCATTTTGTTTTTTTTTTTTCTTGCTGATTTGAGCTCCTTATAGATTCTAAATATTAGTCTTGTTGGATGTATAGTTTGCGAATATTTTCTCCTATTCTGTAGGTTCTGTTTATCTGCTAGTTATTTCTTTTGCTGTGCAGAGGCTTTTTAATTAAGTTCCATTTGTTTATTTTTGTTTTGTTGCATTTGCTTTTGGGGTCTTAGTCATAAATTCTCTGCCTAGGCCAATGTCCAGAAGAATTTTTCTAGGTTTTTTTCTGGAATTTTTATTGTTTCAGGTCCCAATAACTAACTGATCTTTGACAAAGCAGACAAAAACATACACTAGGGAAAAGACACACTATTTAATAAATGGTGCTGGGAAACCTGAATAGCCACAAGCAGAAGAATGAGACTTCTTTTCATCTTTAGTGGATCATGATAAAGAGAATGGATTTTTCAGGACAGTTTTCTAATAGCACAAAGCACAAATACAAGACCTGTCTTCATTACACATGGAGGGTTTGTCCACCCAGTTATATTCTAAAGCAATAAAAGGATAGCAATGCCTTGTCACAATGTTGTATAACTTATTAGAGCCAAGGTATAGAGTTTGTCTCCATTCCAGGCCAGTGAGGTAGGTCAGATACTCATAATCTGTCAAGGAGGGGTGAGAAATCTTGGACATTTTTCTAGGTGTTAAAGTTAGAATTTCTATATCAAAGCAAAGTAGTGGTCCTAATAATACATTATACCTTGAGTGTTACTGAGAAGAAAAGAGAAAAACAGAAACAACAGTTTGCATTAGAATCAAACTATTTCCAATGTCCGGCTGGCTTCAGATGAAAGACTTGAGGTAAGATCATGGGGGCAGAAGGTTTCTTAGGGACCAGTGGTCACCTTAAAGCAATTCCTCAGTCTGACAGTCCTCCAAGCACTGTGGAGTCCACAATCCTGCCTAAATCTACACACCTAAATACTAGATGTAATTTCAGGCCTATACACCTAAATTCTAGGTGCAATTTCAGGATTTATACCCTGAATACTGCACATGAAAAAGAATAAAAAGGAAAACATTTGATATGGCTATAAGTCTAAAACACAAGGAGCATTTTTTTCTTTTCCTAAAGAGCTTTGCTTCTGTGTCAATTCAGCACTGACACCGCCTTGTGGTCAGACATCGAGGTCCCATGTCTCAGAGGCTTGTGGGTCACGCCCAACCTCAACCCTCCCACCAGCCAGTCGTGGAGCACCAGGTCTCTGAGCTAATCCATGCAGATGTCCCACTGGCGTGGGAAAGGCAGGCTTACTGGCCTTCCAGACCAAAACTTGCTAATCAGACTCCTCACAGAAAGGTTAATTCCCACAAATTAATTTCTGAAGAAAGGGAAAAGCTTCCTGAGGGCTGCTTTGACCTCCTTGTTTCTCAAAGTATAGATAAGGGGGTTGAGAGTAGGGCTCAACATGGTGTACAGCACGCCAGCCAACTTGCTCTTCTCTGCACTGTAGCTGGAGATGGGGCTTATGTAGGCATAGAAGACAGAAGTGTAATACATGCACACCACAATTAGGTGGGACGAGCAGGTGGAGAAGGCTCTCTGCTTCCCCTCTGCAGTCCGCATCTTCAGGATGCTGGAGATGATGAAGCCATAGGACACGATGGTCATGAGGAAGTTCACTATGCCATAAAAGGTGTCAGCCAGGACAATCATGACACTGTTCACATAGGTGGAGCTACAGGAGAGAAGTAGCAGAGGAGGGATCTCACAGAAGAAGTGGGTAACAACATTAGGCCCACAGAAATTCAAGCGCAGCATCAGCCCTGTGTGGATGGCTGTGTTGAAGGCGCAGAGCACCCACACACCTGTGGCTAGCATGCTGCAGAACACCCTGCTCATCATGGTGCTATAGTGCAGGGGGTGGCAGATGGCTGCATACCGGTCATAGGCCATGACCGTGAGGAGGAGCAGCTCAGAAGATGCAGCCCACGTGAGAAAATAGAGCTGGGCCATGCAGCCTCCATAGGAGATGGAGCGCCCCTCTGACACCAGACCCGCCAGGGCCTTGGGCATGATGGAAGAGGTGCAGATGATGTCCATAGTAGCCAAGTTGAACAGGAAAATGTACATGGGAGTGTGGAGCCCAGGGTTAAAGGTGATGGCCAAAATGATGAGGACATTACCTGTGAGGGCCACAGAGTAAAGGGAGAGGAAACAGATGAATAAGAGCACCTGGTATTCTGGGTGCTCTGAAAAGCCCTGCAGGACAAACTCTGTTACCAGGGTCTGGTTACTCATGTTCCTTGTGCTGAGAGGGTTTTCCAGGACTATCAAATGAATCTCCACCCACAGCTTCGTGTGATTTCAGGGCTAGAGAGATAAAGGAGAGGGGTGCTAAGGAAAGCTGCTACTATGTTTCATTCACACCTCACATTATGAAATGAATTATATTATATAAATGCACTAGAACATATTAATTAAGACAAATACACCAATATTATAACAAGCAAAGGGCATGAATACTTATTTTGTAAAAAGTAAATACAAATGGCCAATTAAACTCATGAAGCATCATTCAACCTCATTCAAAGAAATGCAAATTAAATCAATGATCCACTCTTTCTTGTCCATGATTTAGCAAAGTTAGAAAAGCATGCTATTGACTAACATGAGCATGTTGCAAAGATGCAGGCCTTTTAAAATGTGTATTCCCTATGCAGTCATAAAAAAGAATGAAATGATGTTTTTTGTAGCACTTGGATGGAACTGGAGGCCATTATCCTAAGTGAAGTAATGCAGGAATGGAAAACCAAACACCACATGTTCTCACTTGTAAGTGAAAGCTAAGCTCCAGGCACACAAGGACATACGGAGTTGTACAATGGACACTGGATACTCAGAAGGGGGAGGATGGGCGCAGGTAAGGGAAGAAAAACTGTCTGTCAAGTGTACTGTACGCTATTTGGTGACAGGCACGCTAAAAACCAAGACGTCACCACAATACAATTCATCAGTGTAACAAAAAACCACTTGCACCCCTAAATCTATTAAAATGAAAACAAAACAAATAAAATAAAGTATTCCATTTGAGCCAGAACTTTTCCTTTTGGAAATTTATCCTAAGGAAATAACTCAAAACATCTTTAAGGTGACAGGGCAGTGCTATTTATAATAGTGAACACTTAAAAGCAGCCTATACTCATGAGTATATTATGGTATTTTGATATAATGCTGTGTAATTATCAAAATAATGCTTTGAAAGTATTTTACTGATGCTTGTAAAAATGGAATGAAAAAAGATTAAAAGTAACATGTGCACTAGAATCTCATTTAGTTTTTTTTGAAGCATGTTTGTGTATGGACCTGTAGAAAAACAACTGGTGAGTGACAGAGCAGAGTTTGAACGATGGGAGTGGATTATGGCTAATTTTCATTTCCTTGATTGTTTTGGTCTACATTTTCTGATTTCTCTATACAATGATCCTTCTAAAAGGCAGATGTATCATACTATTCTCCTAACAATTTTTCCATGGCTCCCCACTGCTGACAGAATAAATGCTTCCTGTGGCTCCTCCTGGCTCCTCCTCTCCAGCCTGTCTTCCCACTCCCAACCCTCAGAGCTGCAGCTGCTCCCACACCCAGCACTCCCGGACAGGCCCACGCACTGGGCCACACCAGGCTTCCCTGGTTCTGTTCTTGTAAGACCCTCAGCCAGGAATGCCCTCCATTTCATCAACCAGCTCTCTCATCAGCCCTCTCCTTCTCAAACATCACTTCCCTGGGGAGAAAGGCCCACTCTCCTTGGTGCCCCCTCAAGATTCTGTACAACTTCCATCCTGGAACCCATTGCATGTCACTGCTTCGCCAGGTTACCCAACTATCTGCCCTGTGGTTCGTAGGGGCCGCATGGATCTCTGGACATCCCTTCTTGGCACCGGGCCCCGCGCCTGGCAGGCAGTGGGTGGGCACTCAAATATGTGTGTTGAGATAATGCTAGAAGGCAGTCCAGTACGGATAGCAGTAGAGTGACTCCTATTCTCAAGGCAGTGCACACTCTGTATTTGTGTAAGATGAGACCGGCAGGGCACACGGTTGCTTTTCCTTTCTTTTCAACTCTTTATTCATCAAGAGAGTTAAGGAACATGTTCACTTTTAATTAATAATTCTGAGTTTTGTCAAACTTCAAGAAGTGTATTTACCACTAAAACATTAAAAAGTTTACACAAAATGACCAAACCTCACCTCCAATCTGGGTCATATCACCATTTCACGAGGTGAAGACCACTCCGTGAAGAGAAGAGCATAAAACCCCTGTGACTCTGAGCAGCAAGGCTACATTAGCGTGGAGTCTGGCCGGAGATGATGGAAATGACGGGGTTCCATCTGGGTATCTTCCCAGCAGCAAGGTATCAGGATAACTCAACTTTAGTGGACACAATAAATACACTTTAGCTGATTTCAGTTTTGTTTGGGACAAAAAGGTCGAATAATTACTTTTGCTCAATGTGAGTCGTGGACCTGGAGAAATAACTGTAACTTTATTTGCTCCTTACCATGGCCCAGTGAGTGATTCCTGTTTAACTTCAGGGTTAAAGGGACAGAATTGGATTTGTCCCACTTATGTCCCAGTGTGAGGTTTCTGCACTTCCCACTGATGTCTTCCATAGGATTTTAGCTGCCTGACTCCCCAGCCAGCATGGCATCAGGGTCCACCTCACAGTGCACATCACAAACAAACCAGAGTGAGCACCTGCAGCTGCACCCAGGAGGAGACAAACATCCATCACTGAGCACCCACCCAGCAGCCAGGGCTGGGTCTGTCACACACTGTTCCTGTAGCACCAAGAGAACTTATTATGAAGGAGTCCTTGAACTCCATCTACCTTTTAACTCAGCCCAGAATGAGGTTAGAAAAAACACCTGCAACACAAATGGAGGTTTTGAACAGGTGCTGAGAACAAGGAAGTTTCAACAAACACATCCACATCCAGGGAACAAATAAGCTGTCAGATGGTTACCCACTCACTGTGATTTGCAGAGCAGGTGGACAGTCTCCTCCAGCAATTGGTCAAGAGATGATCAAAGATTCAGGGTGCCAGCCCTCTTTCTATGAGAATAACCATATGTCTGTTGGTCCTCAGCCAGTTATTTCTTCTTCTGAAAATAATAACAAAGAATCTTGCTCCCCCTAGATTCATAGGGCATTGGCTTTCATTCTCATCAAGCATCACAAGAATATTACCAAAGATGTGAGAAAAAGAACACCCTTTCACATGCAAGGCAATAGGATTATTAAACAGTGGTTATTTTCCGCATTTATCAAACTCTTTGTCACTCAACCTTCTGAGAAAATAAAACCCTATTAAATATCTTGGATGGTTTTTTACCACTTTAAAGAAATAACAATGTTGATTATGCCGACCCACAAACATGGTATGGTTTTCCACCTGTTTATGTTCTCTGCTATTTCCTTCCTCAGTGTTTCATAGTTCTCCCTGTAGAGGTCTTTTACCTCTACAGTTAAATATATTCCTAGGTCCTTTATTTTCTTTGTTGCTAATGTGAAAGTTATTGAGTATCTAATTTGGTTCTCAATTTGACTGTTTTAGCATATGCCTCTGATTTGTGTGCATTCATTTTGTATCCTGAGACTTTACTAAATTCATTTATCAATTCCAGGAGTCTCTTGGTTGAATCCTTGGGGTTTTCTTGATATAATATTATATCATCAGCAAAGAGTGAGAATTTGATCTCTTCTTTTCCCATTTGGATGCCTTTAATTCCACTCTCTTGTCTGATTGCTATAGCCAGGACTTCCAGCACTATGTTGGATAGAAGTGGAGATAGTGGGCATGAGGTATCACTTATCTCCAGTGAGAATGGCCTTTTTCAAAAAGTTCCAAAGCAATAAATGTTGGCATGAATGCAGAGAGATAGGAACACTCCTACACTGCTGGTGGGACTGCAAAATAGTGCAACCTCTGTGGAAAGCAATATGGAGATACCTCAAAGCGATACAAGTAGATCTACCATTTGATACAGCAATTCCATTACTGGGCATCTACCCAAAAGAACAAAAGGCACTCTATAAAAAAGACTTCTGCACTCAAATGTTTATAGCAGAACAATTCACAATTGCAAAGATGTGGAAACAACCCAAGTACCCATCAATACATGAGTGGATTAATAAAATGTGGCATATGTATACCACGGAGTACTATTCAGCTATAAGAAACAACAGTGATATAGCACCTCTTGTATTTTCCTGGATAGAGCTGGAACCCATTCTACTAAGTGAAGTATCCCAAGAATGGAAAAATAAGCACCACATGTACTCACCAGCAAATTAGTTTCACTGATCAACACCTAAGTGGACATATAGAAATAACATTTATCGGTGTCGGGCAAGTGGGAGGGGAGAAGACGGGATGGGTATATATATACATAATGAGTGTGATGTGCACCAAGTGGGGGACGGATATGCATGAAGCTCTGACTCAAGGGGGGAAGGGGGCAAGAGCAATATACGTAACTTTAACATTTGTACCCTCATAATATGCTGAAAGAAAAAAAACAGAAAAAAAAAGAAGAAACAACAATAGGTACCCTCAGGACAGGTGCATTGGCTCAAGCCTGTAATCCTAGCACTCTGGGAGGCCTAGGCGAGCAAGAGCGAGATCCAGTCTCTACTATAAATAGAAAGAAATTAATTGGCCAGATAATATATATAGAAAAATTTAGCCGGGCATAGTGGCCCATGCCTGTAGTCCCAGCTACTTGGGAGGCTGAGGCAGCAGGATTGCTTGAGCCCAGGAGTTTGAGGCTGCTGTGAGCTAGGCTGATGCCATGGCACTCTAGCCCAAGCAACAGAGTGAGACTCTGACTCAAAAAAAAAAGAAAAGAAAAGAAAAGATAGATACCCTCAAAATCCCTGAAATTAAAAAGTTCATTTCCTTGAGATTGTCCTAAAGATAGATCAAATTTTACATAGAGTACAATTTATTTGTAGTGAAATTTTCTCTTAGTTACAATTATTGTTTATAGTTTCACAAGTGGAGAATCGCTGCTCTTTTAAGGTGCTTAATTAATAAAGGAGAACTTGACTACTTTCATTATTTTTATCTCTAAAGGGGTTCAAGGATTTTCAGACACCATATAACTAATCCAATGTCCTTTAATTTTATATGAAGGTAGACATTTCTATTATAAACATGTTTCAAGAATAGAAAACTAAAAATAAGAACATACCGAAATCTCATATGTTTACATCGAAAGACATTTTGAAGATAATCTTATCCAACCTGTTTATTGGAAAGTCGCAAATGAATACAAATGACTTACCCTAGTCGCAGGGTTGAGTGGCAAAACTGTGGTCCCGAGGCTTTGGGATTCCAGTCCAGAATTTGTTCTGTAATTTGTTAGTTGCCTCTCTAAATCCAACCCCATCAAATATCAAATAAAAGCCAAGACAAAAAAAAAAGCAAGAATTTTTATGATCATATTTATGATTGAGATGTGCAGTGCAAACCGGAAAACTCTTAACCAGTTTTGGTGCCCCGTTTACTCTATTGTTTCATTTACTGATCAAATAGTAATAACACACAGGGAGAAATATAGATTCAAAAATTGGGATTTCAAATGTTACTGACTCTGCATCAGCTCAACAAAAACAATCAGGTCTTTTACACAGTTAATGATTCAGATTAAGCAGACTTAGAATTATGAACAGAACTTTTCTTAATTTTTTTATGTCACTCAATGGAAAGAACCATCCTTCAGAATACTCATAATTACCTTGAAAAAGTTATTTCACCTTTCTGGAGCTAATAGGTTTTATGTATGCCCATCCCCTCTCTGTCAACCACAGTTGAGGTTGGAAATCTGTTGACAACTGAGACAGTGTGCAATCTGTGACAAGAACAGTCTAGACAGGATGGTTTCCTTCCCATATTTAAGCTGACCTTGCCAAGAATATGTGACTCACCTTTAGCAATGTCTGTCGCTGCCTGAGGGAGACACTAGGGAGAACTGTTCACAGTGATTACTCTAAGTGGACCCTTAAGGAGCAATTAAGTGTCTCTTTGCTGGGGACTTGGCTGTCATCGGGGTTCACACAAAGGCCAGTTCAGACTTCTGATCCAAATGTGTGAAAAGGGATGTAAGCCCAAGTAGGGGCGGCAGGACACTCCCTCTGTCCCAACTCACAGAGTCTGGGGAAGGGCAGAGCCAGGCTCAGGTGCTCAGAATGTGCCCACACTTGTGGATGGATTGGAAAGAGGGTATCAAGCAGGCAGCTAGCATTTCTGGACTGCTCTCCATGGAAGACTAGAAGCAAACATCTCCACACTTCTCTGCATAAGCCAATTCCTCTAATAGAGCTGGCTTCTCACCAACCCTCACTCACACCTAGGCTCACTTAGGTCCTTGCTGCTTCCCTCCTCCAGCCCTCACATTCTCTCTACCTATCCGAATCCCGACAGATCTAACGCCATCTCTTCTGCTAAGCCTTTCCTTACTCCCTGGAGCTAAGTGGTCACTCTGTCTATGGAGCCTCTGTCTCATTCAGGGGTTATCCCCAGGCTTTGGTGGCAACATGGGCTTCAGAGTCTTTTCAGCCTGGGATGAAATCCCAACCCTGAAAGCTACTGGTTGTGTGACTTTGGGTGAATCTCTTAACTTCTCCAGCACTCAATTACAATAATGAAAAGACATACCTCATTATCACAGTACCTAATGCCTGCCAAAAGGCTAGCAATATTTTATTTCCTCTTCCACCAATTTGGCACCTATTTACAAACAAATGTTTTTTTTCTTCTGTACTGTTTAGCAAGCAGAGAGCAGGCTAGATATCTGAGGGTTTGTTATTAGAAAAGTAAGGTATATATTTGTAACAAGCACTAAACTAAATGGCTCACTAATGTCTTTGAGACTTTACTGTTACTTAAATAGTTGTGTAAATTTGTATAAGTCTCATAATCTCTCTGAATCCCAATTTTTGAATCTATAGAATGGGAATAATAATATCTACCTTTAGGATTTTCCTTTGGACTAAATAAAATGTGTACAAGAATCCATTTTAGAAATCATTTAGTTGTCATTATGGATGGTTTATCAATAGAAATAATTACACAGAGAAATTCTGCCTTGGTAGCATTAAGCCCAAACAGGCTATCTTTTTTCAACAAAATAAAAGATACATGAACAAGGAATTCCCTTCCTGTGATGTTAATGATTTGTTACCATTTAGGAATAAATGTGTGTCAGTTAGGTTAAAGGCTAAACTGCTAAAACAAAGAGATCCAAATATATTGGGACTTAATATTTTCTTTCACTCAACAATCTGAAGGTTTGCTTGAGTGGTGGGGTGGTTTCCAGGCTGACAGTGTAGTCTTGCTCCAGTTCCTTCCAAGTCAATGATACTTGATCTCCTACGCTATGATTCACCATAATGAAGTTGCCAGGAGCTCTACATTTCAGCTTGTAGAAGGGACACAACAGAAAGCTCAAGGAAAACTATTTTAAGCAAATGAGGCAGATTTGTACACATAACTTCTGCCCACATTCTATTGGCAAAAAATATAGTTACATTGCCTCATCTAGCTGCAAGGGAACCAGGGATATGTAGTCATGCTGAGAAAATATATGTGCAGAAAAAAAGGGAAAATGAATTTTGGGGAAATAATTAATAATTGCCACAAATATGCAAGAGGAAACCAAAGATAAGAAATTTTTTTAAAAGACTGGCAGTGAGAGTGAATATTACATATTACTCCCAAGAATAGAGATCAAAGAAAAGGGGAATGATTGTATAGTTATACAGGAAGGAGGAGAAAGTGAAGAGAAAGTGAAAGACATACAGAAGCAAATGATCAACTCTGAAAGTTAAACTAGATAATCAAAGAAATGAACTTAAGAGTTCTAATAGACCTATGCAGTATCCAGAAAGAGTTACAAAGTGGTGGGACTCTGAAAAGTCACGCAGAACCCCAGCCATCGCCATTGATGGAGAACAGTGCTGTGCAAAGGTGTCGAATGACTGACTAAAGGAGACTGTGATCAGAGCTGTGACACTTAACAGACAAGGGGGGCTTTTGGTAAAGGAAATGCTTGGAAATTTGGGAAAACTTAGGGCTCTAGAGAATGTCATGAGGATTCCTGCCTAAGAAATACCACTGCCCACTTTTCTGAGGCCTATGCCCTGACCTCAGCTAGGACCAACTATTAAAACATTCATTTTAACACTTTTTGGTGGATTTCTCATCACCCAGCTATAGCTCTGAGCACATTTCATACTCCTCAAGTCATTCTCCTCTACTTTTCCCAGCTATTGGCCTTGCCTCCTAAGTTTCTGAGAAGAGAAATATCATCTTCCCAGAACTCCTTATCTCCATTCCTCACCACCTAAATCTTTCTAGGTCTTGTCCTCCGTCTTTGTTGAGTTCCATCCTCTGTGCAGGTTCTTTAAGAAGCTAGCTAAAGAGTTAGGAAAGGCTCATTTTTGTCTAGAGCAAATTGTTGAGCATTGTTATTTTCTTTTAGGTTTCCATATTGCCACAGGGTCTTGACATAATTCCCATACCAAGCATAATTTGCATACCAGACATTCAAAGAAGTAGAAAAATATGCCAATAGTGAGAAAAATTAATCAAAACCAACTCCAAAATGACAAAAATAACAAAGTTAGTAGATAAGAATTAAAATAATCATCATGACTATCTTTCATATGTTAAGGAAGCTAGAGAAAAGATTTAGCATAGTAAGTAGAGCCAAAGAAGATATAAAAAGACAAATTGAATTTCTAGAGATACAAACTATTAATACAATGGATGATATTGACAGCAGATTAGACATTATAGAAAAAAAGATTGGTGAATTTGAAAAAATAGAAATAAATCTGCCCTCTGGTGGGAAAAGGCAACACATGTAACCTAAACATTTGTACCACCATAATATGCCGAAATAAAAAACAAAATAAAAAATGAAAGTGAAAAAAAAAAAAAAGAAGAACGTAAAGGAAAACAATTTGTACTTAAAGAACCTGGCCATAGAATTTTTCTACTATTATTATGGAGATCTTCATAACCTGTGTTTTCTTTCTCTTTTCTTGATTGAGAGAAATAAAGCAGAGAAACTCAGATAAAGGCTGTGGTAGGACCTGCACAGACATTTTGAACTTGCTGGACTTGCTAAGGATCAAAAATTAGTTCATTTCCTCAGCCTAAGCAAGTACAGCATATGTCCTCTGGCTTGAGACAAAAGGTTGTCACCAGCTATTGAAAGAACCCAACTCCTTTGATGTTTGACCCATTGATAGAAATCAGGGTGAATTAGAAAGAAACAGTATGAAATTAGTTTCAGTATAAGATTATTTTTTAAATGTGAAGGCTTAAGGACAAAGGTAACCAAATGTATTTGGCATTTCTTTCCAATTAAAACTTTCAAAAAAAAAAAAAAACAGAAAGAACTCTGCCCAAATGAAATAAAGATGGAGAAAAAATAAGAATAATGCAATAAGACAACTTCAAATAGCCTAATGTATGTGTAATTAGACCCTTTAAGTGCACAAGGATTGGGAGGAGAACAGAAAAAAATGTTTGAATGAATAATAAATAAATTTTCCCAAATTTAATGAAAAATCTAAACCTACAGACCTAATAAGTTCAATAACCCCAGGCATAATACAAATGAAGAAATTCACACCAAGACACATGCTTAAAATTAGTGATAAAGAGAAAATCTTAGGAAAAAAGGCAGAGTAGAAAAGGACACATTAAGTACAGAGTGACAACAAAATAGAACCTATTAAAAAAAACTAAAAAAATTCTGGAGCTGAAAAGTACAATAACTGAATTGAAATTTTTACTATAGGGATTCTGCAGCAGAGTTGACCATGCAGAAAAGAAAGAATCAGTGAACTTGAAGATGGGTCATTTGAAAGTATTGAGTCATAGGAACAAAAACAAGGAATTAAGAAAAGTGAAGAGAGCCTAAGGGACTTACCGGATACCATCAAGCAGGTCAATACATGCATTACAGGAGTCACAGAAAGAAAAGAGAGAGGGAAGGGGAAACAGAGTATATTTGAAGAAATAATGGCCAAAAGCTTCCCAAATTTGAGTAAAGAAATGGACAGACTGATTCCAGAGGCTCCAGAAATGGTTGCTGAGACGTATCACAGTGAGATGTATAACCAAACAGTCAAGAGTCAAAGACAAAGATAAAATCATGAAAGGAGCAAAATAAAGTGACTTGTCCTCAGACTTGCGGGGGGAGGGGAGGAAGGGCATTATTTGAAACCTTAAAATTTGTACCCCCATAATATGCTGAAATAAAAAATAAATAAATAAAAAATAAGTGACTTATCATGTACAAGGAAGCCTTTATAAAATTATCAGTGGAT